AAAAATGGTAACAGAATATGCAGAATTTTACAGGTATTAATAGCACTGGCGAGTTTTTGCACGCCGGCGCCGCAAAGAAGACGAATTCCTTGTGTATGTGTGACTTGCCGTCTAAAAGAAGAAAGGCATATTCCAAGGTGTGCCATAATTACGTTTTTTTTGTGGCTCGTTATAGTAGACCAATTTTACAAACGGCTATATTTCCGCACTAGAGGTGGGATGCACAGTATACAGTACAAAAAAATAGAAATAAGAGCACCGACTTGCAAACCAAAAAAGGGAAGGTAAGACTTTACCTATCTACAACAAAGGAGATCAAACAATATGTGACAACTACAGAGGAATAACCCTCCTAAATGTAACATAAAAAATTTTCGCATATATTCTTTACGACCGCCTATCGGGATATTGTGAAGACATATTTAATAAATATCAGTGTTAGTTACGTAAAGAAAGATCAACGACCGATCAAATATTCCTTCTAAGTCAAGCTCTGGAAAAAATATATGAGTATGGCATTGATACTCATCACCTGTTTGTTGATTTTAGATATGCCTATGATAGTGTTGCAATAAACGCACTGTATAAGACCATGATATAATTTACCATCCCAGTCACAGTAAAATTGGTGAAAGCGACCCTCTTAAGAGTCGAGTCTAAAGTTAGAGTGCAGAACGGAGTTTCCAAAACGTTCCAGTCTCAGATAGGACTTCGACAAGGAGATAGCCTATCATGCCTTCTATCCAATACTGCATTAGATTAAGCGATAAGAGAATCTGGAATAACAAACAGAGAAACTAATATTAATTGCAGCGTACAATTATTAGCGTACGCCGGTAATATCGACACTATTGCAAGAAAAAGGGCGGACTGATCTAATCATTCAAGGCGATTGAAGCAACAACAAAAAAAATGGGACTAGAGGTTAACACTAGTAAGACAAAGTATATGAAAGTATCAAATTATATACAACCAGCACAACCCGGAAATCTAACAATCGTACACTTATGCGTCGGAAACATGGACAATGACAAAGAGCGATGAAGAACGTTTAAGATGCTTTGAACGTAAAATCCTACGGCGTATCTATGGAGGAGTATAGGAGGGCGGATTATGGCGAAGACGGTATAATTTTGAACTTTACCACCTGTATAACAAACCTGATAATATTAGGTATATCAAAATAAACCAGCTGCGGTGATTAGGTCACATAGAGAGAATGAATGAGATGGAGCCGCCAAAACATATTTATAACCAAAAATTAGATGGAGTTAGAAGAAGGGGCAGACCCAGAGCACGATTTAAGGATCAGGTGGAGGAAGACTTGAGAATGTTGGGAATACGAAACTGTAAAGCCAAGGTAAAGAATAGGAGAAAATGGAGACTTATCATTGAGCAGGCCAAAACTCACCATGGGTTGTAGAACCAATGATAAGGATGATGATGAAGACTTAATTGGAGTTGTCGTACCGCTTATGATGGTAAAATAAATCATTGTTGAGAAATGCTAGCGGAAAAATTGCATATTGATGATTGTTATTATGATAATTAATCAAATTTTAACATATTTAATTACATCAATGTTGGCTATAGTTACATTTAGATATAGACTTCCAGTCATATTGACTGCTTTATTCAGACTTCCTATGTGCCATTTTAATCAGTTACTATCAACAAGTCCTCACAGACACTTCGTCTAAGATCCTAACAACCCTAAGGTTGAAGATCTATGTTGCCATGAAGTAAAGTCAGCCTTAACTTAGAAATCCTAAATTTTTATTAGCAAAAATGTAACTTAAAATTATTTTATCTTTATTCAAAATTTTATACTACAGTTTTTACCCAGATATATAGTGGCTTTAAACTTTTAAACCTAGTAAATATTAAACTAAATTTTTGTATAAACCATAGTCAAAATTTAACTTTCACGTTTGCTTTAATGAAAGGGGTACTGCTTATTTTAGGAAAAGCACTGTTAATAAAATATTCATTCGAAGATATTCTATAATATACATCGATAGGGTTTTTATATTATTATGCCTTTTTTAAAGGATAAAAATATTAAATGTCATATATTACACGAATACCACCTCGTGCTGGCAAAAATCAACATCTTTAATATTTTAATGGCTAATTCCCAATTCTATAATTAAAGCACTGTATAAGCGCCAGACAAAAAAATACATTTTTAGAGACAAACATTAAAAATAGAAATTAATTATAAAGTCTTTTAGCAGTCGTTGATTATTTGTATATGTTTACATCGAAGCCAAAAAAAAAATTAAAGTTTTTTATTAACTAAAAAAGTGCCATTTCTCACACATTCTCTACGTTCACCAAACTGTCACGTTAGATTTCCGCCTACAAAAAGTTATGTATAACAAGATAGGAAGAAGTTGAAAATCCGCCGTTCACTCTTGGAGGCGGACTAACGAAAATACAAAAACCAGAAAGTTACCCCTAGCTTACATGGGATCAACAGCGTAAAATTACGACAGGGATTGTAAAAGTAAATATAGCATCAGAGATTTAGCAACCCCTGAGAATATTAAAAGAAGATGAAAGTGTAAAAAGGTGGAAAAAATTGAAGGATTGATATTAATACTAAATATCCCATAAGGCTTAATTATTTTTATTAGCCTATAATATGTATACAGGGTGATCAACTTTTTTTATCCGTAGTACGTAGTATTTGTTATTGTAGGAGACACCATAAAAAGTGGTACACAAAAAAAATACATATTGTATAATGGACACATTTCACAAATGGACACGTAAATGCACTCTTTCAATTGTTTACTTTGAGTACTATTTCGAAAAAAGTCATAAGTATTTAATGCTGATATCAAGTGCTGATTTAAAAATCTCTTTTTAACTATAAATACGAGATTTCAACTTAATATGTTTTACTAATACCTCTTTTGTCGCACTTTAATACAATTTTTGAACTGATAATTGTAAAAATTCGACATTATATTTATATGAAATTATTCTAAAACAAAAAGTGTATGGGATAAGGTCCAATGTTTTTTTTTTCGTTGCATAACGCATCAACCACGCAAGGTTATTAGCGTGTATGGATTGTGATACAGAGTTAGAACTTAACAATACAATATTAAACATAGCAATACATAATTAGAAATTATTATCGTTATATATAATTATATATCGAATATATTATCGTTATTAAATATCTCTTTTTATTTTTGTTAACTATCAGAACTAGTGTTTTTAGTATCGCATATAGTTCAGCAGAGAACGTTGTTGAATATGAAACTAATTTGTAAGCTTCTGTATAATATAATGAATAGATTGTAGCCCCAGTTTCTTCTTCGTTTTTGAAGGCATCGGTGTAAACTTTGAAACAGCTAGCATATTTGCTTAATATTTTAATAAATTCTTGATTAATTTGACTTGCTGGCGTTTCTGATTTATTCAGGCGCAATAAGCTGGTGTCAGTAGAGGGGAGTCGAATTGTATTTATGTCGAATGTTTTAGAACCTTTAGCATTGAGTCTTTTTTTCCATCATAAGTAGGATTACACCTGTTTTATTTAGGAGCTAAAATTGAATGAATTATTTTTAATTACAAACGTTTGTTTTTAAACAATAATGCTGAATAAGACATTTTTAAATTAGACGCTTTGGAAGACTTTTGGATCTCAGTTGGATATTTTGGATATGAATGAGTTGCAAATTTGATTACTTCAGTAAGATTTGATAAAATAATAGAGACATTTATTTGTTTAGGGTGATAATTGTACCTTTTCTGGCTTAGTCTACTTAAAATGTATATTTCTGATAACTTAAGAAGATTTATTTGTATTTAATAAATAGTCAAGATTTTATAAATATATTCTAAAAAGCGTAGTGTTTTTATTTTAAATTCTTGCTTAAGATCCGTATAATAGTTTCGAAACACAATTCAGATTTCTGCTTATATTCTGAGCCTTCTAAAAATTGCAAGGCAAACAGACGTTGATAAAAGATGTTAAAAGGGACATGGGGAATCTAAAATTTGCATTCCACGACATGTCTTTTACAACTAAGCAGAAATCCTTAGCGAATTGTGCTTCTAGTACTCACACAGAGTAAATCCAAAATAAAATGAAAAAGACAGGAAATATTTGATTTCACGCAAACATCGTTTGAGAACTCCTATGAATAGCTGTTCTGATGAGACCTATTAGGTCGAAATACGTATCAACAGATACATAGGATTTGTTTGCGTGAAATCAAATATTTGCCGTCTTTTTCGTTTTCTTGCTTAAGAATTGAAAAATATGACTATGATTCTTATCCTGTTAAAACTGTTCTTTATATAGTCTTCAAATGGAAGGGTAATATATACCACTAACCAGCACACTGACGGTATAAGATGGAGTCCTCATTACGTAACGTGGGACTCATATTGATATAATTTTTCAAATATATTAAAGCTACTTATTATATATAAAAAACTTACTTTTAGAGGATAATCTTTTGATGAGAAAAAGAGAATTTTACAAACCTGAAATAAAAGAAAGTCAAATTAAAAGGTTTTAATTAAATATTGTTTAATAGCTAATAATATATACATCTTCTAACACTCAGTGTTAGAACTTATCAAATTTTTAAAGCATAACAAGAGTATAAGGGTAATGTTCATTACATGTGTTTTGTTTTCTCAGTGTGGTACCAGTTACAGAATTTTACTCCATAACACGTACCTTTAAAAGGTTTTTTGTTTTGAAATAAAGTACTATGTGCAACAATAGTTTGCAATTGAAGATAACTGGAGTAAGTGACAATAAAATTTGCCAGATTTATCGACCACGTGGCCTAAATGACCAATGAAAATGTCACGTGGTCGATAAACCTGGTCCAATAAAACGAGCTGTGCTCTATTTGTATTCTATGTCTATGATCATACCAATAATGGCGCGGTGTAGCAAGAATTAAATACAGAATAGTGAGTAAGGTAAGATTAAATAGTGTAGCAAAACTCTAAAATTAATTTGGATGGACAGCGACGACTATAGCACGGAGGATTTTACAAGGAAACGAGAAAATGATCCAGAAGATAAAAAATGTGACATTTTAAATGTGCTAACAATAAAAATAAGAGAACTGCAAGAAGAGCAAAGAGAGTATAGAAATGAAATGCACAAACACAAGGACAAAAATGAAAATCAAAAACAGAAAAATAGAGAAACCAAACAAAAAGTTGAAGAATTAAAAAATAAAATAGATAGAACGAAATAGGATAAAAAACAAAATAAAAGACTACAGGGAGTAGAAATAGATACAAAAGACTAGAGATAGAAGATATGTCATCTAGAACCCATTCAGACATCGTCTGAGGGTCAGCAGCAAGACCTAGTGAAAGTCTTACGTTGTCAAGCGGGTTATCTGAGATATACTTAAACATCACAACATACTTTTAAATAAAATGTAAGCCATAATAAATTTTGTACCATCTAAATGGTTTTTACGCAGGTATTTAGTGGCTTAACTCATGTGTACCGAGTAATAAACACTGATGATGGGATTTTAAATTATTTACCTTGTATACAGGATTTTAAACAAACTTTAAAGTATGACCATAAATGGGCCATGGAAAAGAAGGAATAATAAAAAACTTAAAGAACTATGTAATAAACCAAAGATAACGGCTGTAATTAAATCACAGAGACTAACATATTAAGGACACATTAAAAGAATGGAAAGCGAAAAAATGCCAAAAATGGTACTATTAGAAAAGCCAATACAAAAAATAAGAAAAGATAGACCAAAAAAAAATGCAAGGCCAGCATCATGACTCACAAAAACGTTTTATTAAAAATTGGAAAGAAAAACATGGGACAGAAATCAATGGAAGAAAGACATGTATGAAAAAAACTATAAGAAATTTTAAATATATTTTACATGAATACTTAATATAATAATTGGAATAGAATATAATAATTGTAATAGAAAAATAAACTTTTCAGACTTAGGCCTTTAAGGCCTGTTGAGCTTTATAAATAAATAAATAAATAAATAAATAAATAATTAAATCATTAGAAATGTAATTTTCCATTTTTTCCAATTCCAATTCCAATTTTCCACATATTCGCTACTTCCTTCATAACATGCTCAACAAACTTCTTTCAATTGAGTCACATGACTTTGGACATGACGTGGTACCCTGAAATAGTTGGTTAGTATGATCTATATTAAAAGAAGAATTTTCAGGTAAACACGCTAGGCCACTGCTTTAATTATATCTTTAAAATAAATCCTTGTGTCTCTTATCAATATTGTAAAGCATTTTTTTTGAAGTTTTTTTGATATTGTTTGGTAAGTTTTCTCACAATAACACACAATTAATTTATAACATTTATTTACTCAACCGTACAAATTTATATTTACAACTGACAGTTAAATCTAAATTTACCTTTATATATATTTCGTGAAACACTCGCAGAAAACCGTAGAACTTTTTGGCAGCATTAGGAGACTTTCGAAATATCTCAAGAGCTCTAGCTTTAAGCTAACGTTCAATCAAGGACATAACAAGAGCTTGGCGTAACAGCATATTTATATTTTTAAAAATAAGCAATTGTAAGACGTCTGTTTTACGTAAAAAATTTACTGACAACTTTTTCTTGTAACCCAGAATGATCCATACCAACGATAGCGCCTATCACATTACGTTTCTTTAAAGCCGATCTAACATTTGAACAAAATTTTTTTAAAAATATTTGTATATAAGTGAAAAACGAACGTTAATTAGATCCAATATTTCAAAAATTCTTTTTGTTTTTTAGCAACCGCTTTTGGTCTACTCCTGGACATATGCCTTTCTCTTTTGAGCAAGCTGGTGCCAATTTCTTACTCCTTTCTCGGTGATGTCGTCGATTCGTTAGTTTTGTGATCTGGCTCTGCCTTGTTTATGTGGTCTTGTTACCATTGTATAAGTATCTTTGTTCATTTGACTATCTCTTGCCATATGACTTATTCACTACCAATTAGATTTTACAATAACTTCGATAACATTTTCCGCTTTTTTTTCTTCTTAGATCTTCATTTCTCATGAAATATTCTAAGCTTGCATTAACTATGATTTTCTCGATAGTTATTTGAGTTGTTTGAGTCTACGGAGAGATTGGTTAATAAATATCTTGGTTTCCATTCCATAAGTCATGGCAAGAAATAATACATGTATCAAAAACCTAGTATGGGATTGTGTGACTGTCCTATATAAACTACGAGACCATTGTCGGTAACCTATAAGGTCATAAAGGCGATGGAATAGCAAATCAAATAGCTAAACAAGGCTTATTAATGCTATTTACTGGACTGCAACCATTATGCGGCATTGCAAAGATAGTATTGAGAAGGACTACAAAAACGTGGGTGGCACACGAATCTGGAATGTTGGTTTAATTCATTAGGCCGAAGACGGGTAAAACTATTGATTATCGAATATTCGCCAAATTTTACAGCAGACTGTCTTCACTTATTAGAAGACAGAAAAACAGTCAAAGTCATAGTAGGTCTGGTAAGACCTACTATGACTTTGACTATTGTAAGTTGAATAGGCATTTAAAACTGATGAAATTGACAGATAATGATTTATGCAAATTGGGTCACCTAGAGGAAGAACCAGCGCAGCACAGAATCAAAAGCTTTATTATAATCAACAAATGTCAACTGCATTTTTATTCCGTGTCTTTTTCTACGATTGCGTACTGATTGAAAATGATCAACTGTGCCGTATTCTTTGCGGAATCGAGCCTTTTCGTGTTCTCAGTAAGAGTCCAATTTATTCTTGTCTTATAACCTTAATGAAAAGACAAGAAAGAAGAAACAGTCAAACAGGCGAATTTAATGTAACAGGTGTTATATAAAATTGAATTAATTTGTTTTTATATTGACAGATGTCAATAACCTTACGTTATCAACGTCTAAAATGACATTAAAAGCTCTTGTATCATTGAATATACACATCATTTTTTTTGCTTTTGCGACTGTTAGTTAATAAATAAAAATAAAATAAACCCTAATAATTTGGTAGTCTTCAGTTTTTACTCGATCAAGTTAATTAATATTAACAATTTACCATTATATAAATATAATTATACTTTTTTATTGACATCTGTCAAAATATGACGTCAATAATATTATCATTCCCAAATCATTCCCAAATAACCTCAAATTATAAAAATAAATTAACTTGATAAAAATTTTCATACTAGGTTAGGTATCCAAAAATGTACAGTTGCGGTCACGGAATAGTTTACACCTTACTTTTTATATTGTAATACTGTAAAATTGCAGTGTCGTACGGATTTGATAAATGTCAAAGTCAAAAAATTTCAAAACGTCAATGCTTTCGCGAGTGTTCAACAATAAAATAAAAGTATATTAAACTCTTGCAAAATGGTTAGAATACATTTGAATTATGCGCAAAAAGCAAGAGCAATTGCCAAACTCGAAGAAGGTTGGTCACTAAGGCAAGTTGCTGCTGATTTGAACGTGAGTCATATGTGCATATGGAAGATTAAACAAAGATGGGATAATTTTCACTCTATAGCACGGTTGGGCGGTTCAGGAGGGCAGAAGATTTCCACAGATCAACAGGATGAGATGTTAGTAGATTATTTGAGAGAATCTCCTTTTGCCACAGCTCAAAAGGCAAGAGAAGAGGCAGCGTTTCCAGGCAGTATTCGCACTGCACGTCGAAGAATTAAAGCAAGTGGACTGCTAAATTGTGTAGCTGCACGGAAACCTTTTTTGACTGTGGATCACAAGAGGAGACGAGTTGAATTTTGTAATGAATTTATAAACTGCGATGAGAATTTTTGGTCTAGGGTTGTATTTTCCGATGAAAAAGTATTTCAGTCGTATAATAATGGTCGAATAAGAGTTTATAGGCCGAGAAATCATAGGTATAATGAACAGTATACGCATCATTTAAGAAATAGTGGAGGATTCTCTGTCAACGTATGGGGATGGATAAGTGCCGAAGGCCCGGGCGTTTGTTATCATGCAGAGCAGAAGTTAACAGGATTATATTACAAACATATTATTGAGCACACAATGTTGCCATCGGTGATCCAGAGATTCCCCAACAACGACTTTATCTTCCAACATGACAATTGCCCGGTGCATACGAGTAGAATTGTTCGAGAATGGCTAGAAGAAACTGATGTTAATGTTCTTCCGTGGCCTTCCCGTAGTGCAGACTTTAACCCCGTCGAAAATGTGTGGGCAGAGTTAACAAAGAAACTAAATGAAAGAAACCTTAGACCACGGAATAGAATTGAATTATGGGAAGCAATTGAGCAGGCATGGGAAGAGCTTGTTAACTATAACATGATGGGATTGGTGCTATCTATGAACAGAAGACTGCAAAATTGTATTGACAAGAATGGGGCTTCCACCAAATATTAATTATTATTTATCATTGTTTATCGTTATTTAATATAAAATAGATTTAAAATAAAATGCATATTAAAAAAAAAGACTTCTTTATTTTCGTTATTAAGATCATAATCCATTTTATTCAAAAAACTGTTTTCTATATTTTTCATTTTGTAAAATATTTTGATATTTTAATTTTAATCTACCTATTCTAGCTAGTACACCACTGGCAACGTCACTTTGACGTAAAAGGTGCGTTTAAACGAAGTAAAAATTTAAAAAATGGGCTCCTAGATACGTGAACCTGTAAACTATTCCGTGACCGCAACTGTATGTATTTAAGTTGTCCCGAAAATACTTGGCGAAGGCGGAGTTCAGATAAATACTAAACTATTGATATTTAAGTTTGAAGAATTCTATGTAAAAATACCTCAAAACTTTAATAATAGCATCAGTTTGGTGAGATTAGAAATGTTTTGTACACTAAACGATTACATAAATCTAACTATACAAGAGACGCATAAATATTAACTAATACATTTTTGCGTAATTATCTTGATCAATTTAGGATATAAATAAAAAAACAACAATATAAATTTTATAAATAATATATTTCTTTTTAAAATATTTCTACCGTCTCACTGTTACAATATTCGAGTATTGTTTTTGTAATACAAAAGTAAAGAAAGTAATAAGAAACATTTGTAGCTATTAAATAAATAAATAAAATAAAAGAGGAGTAACACAAGGATGTATATTTTTGCCTATGCTTTTTAACTTTTATTTGGAGGAAATATTTAAAGAATCTCTAATAAAGATAAAAGAAGGTATTATGTTTAGCGGTGTAACCACGA